GGCGGGGAGTCTGCTTCTTCCTCTGACCCTCCCCCCTCTCATGTACTCTCTCTCATTCTCGCTCTCTCAAATAAATAAATAAATCTTTAAAAAAAAATAAAATAAAATAAAATACATCTTGGGTATGTCTCAAATATGCATATAATTTTAAACCCTTTAAAAACCTTCTAACAAATATTAGGCTTGATTTATTACTTAAAATTTACTTTTGTGACTAAAAGTTAAATGAAAGGAAGTATTCCTATTTATTTTTTATCTTTTAATTAAAATTTTTAAACATAAAAAAATATATAGATTGATATGATAAACCACCTAGCTTCAATAATTGTCAGCATTTGGCAGTCTTATTTCATCTACCTACCCAACACACATTTTGGGAGCTGGAATATTTTAAACTAAATCCTAGATAAGTTTATTCTACCCATAAATCTGTCAGTGTGTATTTTTCTTTTTCCACATCACACCTAATAAAATTAATATTTTTTTCTCCCACTATTTAGAAAAATAAGGGTTTAACACCCTTTAGATCCAGAATCAAAATAAAGTACACAGCACAAAGCTTCAAAAGTTAAATACTTGAGCATACTTTGTGTGGTAGAAAAAGAGGTCGTTTACCATTCTGGAGAGAATAAACAGTGACAATTTCATTTAATACAAATTAAAACAATGGAATACCATTTTTCATCTATCATACTGGTTAAAGATTCAACATCTGACAAGACTCAGTGTTGGTAAAGAGTGCTGGGAAACAGGCATTCTCACATACCACAGGTAGAAATGTAAACTGGTGCAACCTTTTTAAAGGGCAATCTAGCAACATTTATCAGAATATAAACCTTTACGTTCTCCACTACTAGGAAATTGCCCTACAAATACAAAAAGTGCAATGATAAGGATGTTGTATTATAGTAATAGAAAAAACAAATTGGAAAAAAACTGTATTCATTAGTGGGGAAATGGGTAAATCAAACTGTGGTATATCTCTACTATGAATAGCTACTCTGCGTATGCTTTAAAAAAAAAAAAGAAGTAGTAGTAGCTTTGCAAGTGCTGATATATAGTTCCAAGGCATATTAAGTGAAAACAGCAAGGCACTGAAGAGTTGTATAGAAGAACCATTTTGTATAACTTTTAAAAATGTAGATATACATACCCTGAGGAGGAGGAATAAAAGGAGACAATTGGTTAGAAGTTGTAGAAAGCTTTAACTTTCATTTTGTACCTGATGTGCTGTTTTAAGTTTTTTAACCACATAAATGTATGTATCGCTTTCTTCTAAAAAGATCAACAGAGACTGTGGAAGCCAGCATCCAAGATGGCCCCAACGATCCCTACCCTCCTGGTATTCACAGCTCTGTACAGTCCCCTCCCACACTGTACCACGGGTGGTCTGTGTGACCACAAGAATACAGCATAAGTGATAATATGTCACTTCCAATGTTAGGTTATAAGAGACACTGTGGCTTCCGTTTTAGTCTTTTGCTCTCATCCCTCTTGGATCACTCACTCTGAAGGAAGCCAGCCACCATGATGAAAGGGCCAATGTAGCTTCACTGGACTTGCAAACCACCACATAAATGAGCTTGGAAATGGATTTCCCAATCTCCAATCATGACTTGAAATGACTGTAGACCCAGACAACAGCTTGACTGCAACCTCAAGAGACCCTAAGCTAGAAACACCCAGCTAAACACCCTCAGTTTGCTATTTTAAGATGCTAAATGTGGTAATCTGTTACACAGCAATAGGTAACTAATACAAGGATTGTGTGGATTGTGGGATTTGTAGGACTTTTTTCTTCATACTTCTCTATTAAAAAAAAAAAACAAAACCAGTAAGTGTTATTTTAAAATTATTGTCGATGTACTAAAGTAACTCCTACTGAATAATTATGACACAATTTTACTTACTTGGAACTCTTATCTGGTAGTGATTAAGTGCTGTAAGGGCTTCTACTGCATCAGTTTTGCATTCCCATTCTAATAGCCCAGAAAGTGTTTTGGCAGAAGCTAAAACAAAACAAAGAAACACAAATCCAGTTGTTACGTGCTTGTCATCAGTTTAACCAGAAAACTTAAAAAGAGGGCATGTGCACTTACGTTTTGCATCAAACACTTTATATTTGATGAATGTAAGAACTTCGTGGTCATTACATAACTGTCAAAGAAATGTGAAACTCCATTAAAAATATGGCCAAAATAATATTCCCGCCTTTTCCTTTTTTAGAAAGTAAACTTTATGGGGGCACCTGTGTGGCTCAGTTGGTTAAGTGTCCGATTCTTGATTTCAGCTCAGGTCATGATCTCAGGGTCGTGAGCACTGGGCCCCAGCGTGAAGCCTGCTTAAGATTCTCTCTGTGCCTCTCCCTCTGCCCCTCCCCGCCCCCCTGCGTGCACTCATGTGCTCATCATGCTCTCACTCTCTCTCTGGAAGAAAGGAAAATAAACTTTATGGCAGCATTTAAGTCTGGCATGAATGAATTAAATCAAACATGTTTTTATTATTATTTTTTTTTTGATAGAGAGAGAGACAGGGAGAGAGGGAACACAAGCAGGGGGAGTGGGATAGGGAGAAACAGGCTTCCCGCTGAGCAGGGAGCCCAATGCAGGACCTGATCCCAGGACTCTGGGATCATGACCTGAGCCAAAGGCAGACGCTTAACGACTGAGCCACCCAGGCGCCCCCCAAACATATTTTTAGATTGGTAAGTTCTATGAGAAAATAAACTTTAAAAAGTGATATTCTATAAACTATGTAAATAATTTAGTGCTGTACAATAAAACCACAGATTTATAACTGAAATATGTATTCTCAGAGTTGTTAGGATTTATCTAGTACCTAAGGGACAGAGTGGAGTTCCCAGAAATTTTCCCAGAAAATCAATTCTTTTCTGAAGCATTTCCTACAGTTTGGCAAAAAGGCAGGGATATATAAAATTTTGTTATGGGCAAGATTTTTTTTTTTTAAAGATTTTTATTTATTTTTATGAGAGAGAGAGAGCGTGCGCACATGAGCACGAGTGGGAGGGGGGGCAAAGGGAGAGGGAGAAGCAGGCTCTCTGCTGAGCAGGGAGCCCAATGCGGGACTCGATCCCAGGATCTTAACCGAATGAGCCACCCAGGTGCCCCGTTATGGGCAAGATTTAAGGGCATAATAAAAGAACTCTCTGAATGAAGAAGTCAGGTATCTCATTCTAATTCCGACTCTCAAAAAGACGGAGCCACAAAACAACAAAAGACTAAAAAGGCTAATGCAGAATGGAGGCCAGAAAAGTACAATGGTCAAAGAGTGAACTAAATAACAAAATACTAATAATATCAAAAGCAGATGATGAACAGAGCAAGACTTTAAAATGAGGCTAAAATATTATAAATTTTAAAATAAGAAATAGAAACATTCTACACAGCTGTATTTCAGCACCTACCTTTGTGAAGGTCTCCTCTGTGACACACAATGGAACATTGTAATAATGCAGCACACATGAGGGTGGCTGGATTATATTCTTAGATGCTTGACCAGCACTTGTAAAGCGATTATTTTTGCTCATTGCAAAATCTTTGTAGCTACTTGTACCATCCTCCAGCTCAAATATTTGACTTGGAACAACTGAATGTTGTTTAGACACACTAAAGATTGGGAAGGAAAAAAGGTATAGAAGATACCTTGTTAGATAAAAAGCAACAAGTAGGCAGTGTCAAAAGGTTAATATCTATGCCTGCATCAATTTTAACAAATAAGACAAATGTAGTTATTTAAATGTGATTTAGTTATTTAATATTTTAAACATTTATTTGAATACTTAAATTTAGTTTAAGTTATAATCTATCACTCTTATAGTTTAGGAAACTTTATATAAAACTTGCCCATTTTTAACATGCTGTTTTATAATCATAACACTAAAAACTAGGTATAGGTGAGCAAAACCTGAATTATATGAACCTAACATACTTTGTCTAAAATGATAACATTATAGGTGCTAGTTTCAAATGTGCTCTCAATTACATTAAAATATTCTGAAATTGAAATTAGTATCTCTAATAAAAATGAAGATTTTTTTAATACTTTTAAAATTTACCACTTTTAAGATAATTACCAAACATTAAGTCTTTTCCCAAATAATTTGACATTGTTAAGGTGTGTGACAGCTCTTTCTACAGCATACTCATCACCCATTTCTACCAGTGCTGTACCAGGAATGGTCTTCATAAATTTTACCTGTAAATACAAAATCCCAAAAAGGTGACTATTTATTTCCCTTCTATAATAACGGAATTTCTGAAAGAGAGTATGATTTAAGTGGTTGAGGTCAAATACAGAAGATCACCTGGAATCTTGACTTTACTCTGCTGTGCTGTTAGACACTCATAACTCTTACCAAAATTCAACAAAGTTAAAAAGGAAGACTATAATTCTATTGTGTAGCACAATGAAGAAGAGCACAGGCTTACCCTGGCTCTGCTACTTATTGTGTGATTTGGGGTGATTTTCTTCTCTGAGCCACAGATCTCCCTATAAAACAGAGACAATGATAATACCTGGTACAGTTCATCAATATTTATTCATTCAACAAACATTTATTAGGTGCCTAATGTTTTGATAAACACTGTGCTGGATACTGGGTATTAATGGTAAATGTAATAGACACAGTCTTCTTGAAACTTATATTCTGGTAGGTAGGTCAAAAATTTAAAAGTAAAAAATAATTCCCAACTACTCAGAATGCTGTTAAAGCAATAAACAAGATGCTGTAGGAAATAATGCATGACGGCCTTGAGACAGCATTGCCAGTAGGAAGGCTTGTACAAGGTAGGGGCAGTTTTAAAAACAGGCATATTTCACAATTTTTCATGGCATCTTGGGCAGAGGCCATACTTAGCCTCTTATATTATTCTAATTTTAGTAGATAACACTATAGTAATAAGGGTTAAATGGGTTAATGTATGATAATCATTCAGCATAGTACCTACCCCCTACCCCTTAGAAAGTCCTTCAATAGCTATTCTGTACCACTAACATTCATGACACCTTGAAATATCTGTTAGCCTTAAAATACTACAAATGTATTTACATAACAAATGCAGCATAGCATTTATATCCACCCTTGCAACTACCAATTTTAATGGGCTATTCCAGCATTTTTATACTATACCTGTACTTGAACAAAACTCAGTTGTAGCAGGACTTTTCAGCTTTACTTGAAATCAATTATCTTCTTGTGGGCAAAATTTCTATACCTTGATTTAATCCAATAACATCCTACAAATCTAACAATGACTAAATAAGTATCTTATGTTAAATATGTAGCTCTTGTACTTGTAAATCTAAAAAACGGCGAGGCATACTTACCTATATATAGGTCTTTTAAAGGACTAGCATAGCCTAAGTTTCATGTATCATAATAGATTGTTTAAAATATTTTTTTTGACATTTGAGACTGGAATTGTTCAAATAGCACACAGAAAACTTCTAAGTTTATTAGACAAAATGACTTAGGTTTCTAAATCATGAGACAATTAGTTCATAACAGAAAAGACAAAGATATACTAAAGATGTTGATTTAACTGACTGATCTGATTGTCTACAAATGTGAAAAGCACTAAGAGAAAAGTAACATTATGTGATAAGGTTAAAATACACATTAAAGCCCATTTAGTTATCAAACATGCAGTTCCTAAACCTTAACTAACACCTAGGTGTCTAAGATAAATGTCTGTGTGAAAAAATCTGAACTACTTCTCCCAGTGTTGCTAAATCTGTCCATGTATTCCTGGCAAGTTATATAAGCAGAAACACCCCATATGTTATCCCTAGACCAATGTGGGATTTTCTTTCTTTTCTTTTCTAAATGCGGTCAAATGGTTATGCTGAGAAAATTCTTGTTCCAGAGATTTTCTGAGTTGCTTTCTCAGTTCAAGGAGCCTTTACTTTAGAATTAATGAACTAAGAACTAACAGTACCAACTTTTGAAGCCATGCTCCCGCTCCCACACATTTATGACTCACATGCTTGTACCTTTTTATTGTTGTGAAAAGAACACTAAAATCACTTAAAACAACAGAGAAAAATAACATTATCTCAGTACTGAAACTCAAGTTGGCAAGTGTATCAAACAATTGGTAACTTAAGATGACCAATCATTTCCCCAGTTAAATTTCCATGATTCTTTAGAAAATAGTTTAAGTATCTACTTTATGATACTATTTTAAATATTTATGAGATATCAATGAACAAAACAGCACAGATCTGGGGAAATGGTTGTCTAATGAAAATAAGGTTATAGCTTTAAAGATCTTTAAAATATGTAAAATTCAAATATTTTGCTACTTTTTGAGTGTAAGCCTCCAGATAAAGTTTTGAACACATTTTGTCAGTTTCAAATACTGATAGAGCTAAAAGCACATTGTTCCTCAGAAGATACTGGAAATCTAGCATTTGGGAGGCAAGTAATTAAATCTAGAACTCTCCTAAAATTCATGACTTGTGGCCAAGCATCATGAAAGTACTCCTCTTTCGAATTCTATAGTTCGACATGTTAAGTGCTAGAAACACTTTGCAATGATAAAAAAAATACAGGCTAGTAATTAATTAAACTACTGTTCTGGACTTCTATTTATATTAGCTATTTTTAAACTATTTTTAGTACCAACAACCTATACTGATCACTTACCAACAAAAAACAATTTCTAAAGCTCCTACCTAATGAATTTTTAGCTTATGTGGTTTACTACTAAAAGAACTTGTATGTTCCTAATACAAGGGGAAGACACATGTATTTGTTGCCTTTTCAAACTTTCCTACTAGATATCCTAGCAGAAGAAATTAATATAAAACGAAACTTACCTTTTCAATATTTCCATACAAGCAGAATAGGTTGAACACTCTTGAACAATTCATTTTTAGCTGATGTAATCCACTAACCATTACAACTGAACCAGAGGGATTTCCTCCATGCATGTAAGAGGAAGAAGCCTGTGGCAATGGATATGCAACAAGCTCAGGTGTATCTCGAGAGCCCATTCTGTAACGACTCGGTAAAGGCAATAATGGACCATGGGATCCTATAAAAATGATAAACAAAACAAAACACAACTTTAGCAGATATTCTTCACCACATTAAAAGTAAACTATTAATATTAGCTAGTTTGATGTATGTCCAAGGAAAACTCAAATAAATGTGTTAATATTCAAATATAACCTGTGGGGATTAATAAAATCTGTATTTCTGTGTACCAGATCTAAGATACATTGACCTGCACATCACTGCATATACATCAGGCTTTAAGTTTGTATTTTTAAAACTACGGTTTAACAAAAAAGTATATAAGATCAGGCCACAGATAGCAGGGATGGGGAGAATCAGTGTAAAACTTTGGGTCGCTGTGTATAAATTGTATCTTAATTTTTTTTTAAAAAAACCTTCTGCCAACACCTTTTGGAGGATAATACAATAAAATATACAGCGAAATCTTGGAAACTATCTCTATACAGACATAACAAAAAGAACATCTCTAGTTCCACTGAAAAGCTATCTCCTTTGATATATTTTACCGTAACGTGCTTTCTGGTATTTTATTCCCCTAATTCTAATTTAGGAAACAAAACTCCTAATTTCATTAATATCTCACCTACTGAAAGGTGTCATTTATTCAGCATCCTGCATTATCTGAAACAACATCAAGAACCCAGAATAATGCCTGAATATCTGAAACCGTTGTCACAAAACACACGCAAATCTATGTCTCATGCTGAGAATCCTTATTAAGAATCAACTTTCTAATTTTAGAGTAGTTCTAAACAACTTTGATTTATCCAGTTTTCCCATCCATAACAGATTGGAAGTATCAAGAAAAATAAAGCTAAAGTGAATGGAACAGACAGGAATGGGGGAGTCTGGAGAAACTGATACTAAAAGCAGGCAGAGGGCACATTCACAAGAGCAAGAAGAGAGAGTCGTAAGAACTGAGAAGCAACTAAGAAACTGACTCATAAACTGGTGGTTGCCGGAGGGTAGACGAGAGGCGGTGAAATAGGTGAAGGGGATCAAGTACCAACTCCCAGTTACTAAAAAATAAGTCTCTGGGATGAAAAGTACTGTGGAGGGAATATGGTCAATAATATTGTAATGACGTTGTATGGTACTACACTTATCATGGTGAGCACTGCACAATGTATAGAATCATCCAATCGCTATGCTGTATACCTGAAACTAATATAACATTGTATGTCAGCTATACTTCAATTTAAAAAAAAGCAGCAGCAACTAAAATGGAGGCATAGCTCAGAAATATAAACCCATACATGTTAGGTGCTCCTGAGTTAGTGATTACAGAAGTATACTCTTATAACATGCAAAGGTCCTCCTGATGTGCAAGAAACCAATCCAAAAACCCAAGTCTTTTCCTCATTTCTCAAGAAGTAAAGAATATGTAATGCTACTGACTCTCATTTTTATTTAAGGGATACTTGTCATCTACTAAGTAAGGTACTAAGAACTACATTTTGGTATTCATAGCATGCTATCAGAGCTCATGGGGACTCCAACTCAGTATTCAGTATTCTAAATACAGCTGCCATTCATAACAACACAGCAATACTACCACTGAGCACACACACAGTGTGAATTCCTACAATTTCATGGAGGAAGAAACACTTCATCAATGCATCGTCAGTGTTGCCTTAAATTGGAATGGTTTTCAACTGCCCTTCTTGCTGATAATTAGTTTATCAAAACAAACAATATAGCTCATGGTGAGTTACTTGTTAGTAACAACACGTTTTGGCCTCCAATTTAAACTTTATATATATGCTGGGGTCAAATATCAATCATTCTTATCCCTATTGCAAAAGTACATATCCCTACTATACCGTCCCTCCACTACCACCATTTGCTTGTACAGTAATGACATTTCACTATTACCACTAAATTTTCTTTTTCATAGAAAGTAGAAAGATGTGTGGTGCATGGGCAGTGAAAACTTCCACTCTACTGAAGTTGGCCAAAAATGTTGAGATCCACTGCCAGAGGTAACAACTGAATTCAGTGCAAGAGACTATAACTGATCAGGATTAAATTACGTTATCTACACTATTTAAATTGTTGCCTATATTGTTTAAGAAAATAGAAAATCTTTTTAAAGGTTTCTATACATAAAAAAGTTCATACAAAATGTTTTGATGCATAAAAAGCTAGTACTTCAGGTATTAAAAAAATTCACTTATGTGGGAAAATGCTACATAATGGCATTATTATCATTTGGAAGGCATTTCTCATCCTTGTACTTTAAAATCTTTGGTCCAGGAGCCATATCCAAAGATGCTTGCAATTAATATACAAACTTTTCTTAGACCCACAGAAAATAAATCTGTATAAAAGTGGTAAAAATAATATTTTTCAAGTATAAGGACGTCTACCACCTCCCCTCATCGGACAGGGCTTCCCAAAGTAAAAGATTTAAAGAATTCTGAAAGCACAGATTTATACTGCTGTAATAAACCAATGAATAAATTTAATTAAATAATTAAGCCTTTTCTATTCCCTCATTCTCATATACCATCATAAAGGAAAAGCCACCCATGATACGACACCAAAATGCAAAAACACCTGTTTTGCTGAATTGCTGATCTGAAGGGATACAGCTACGCTTTGCAGCTTTTAAAAAGGCTCAATATATCACTAGCACCTACTCCCCATCTTCTTCGCTTTCCCCCCGATTTCCTCACCTTACTTCTCTTCTCCACCTCTTTTTATTTATCTCTCTCTCCTCCTATACTCCCCTAGGAAAGCAGAACAAGTTATCCTCAGAGAGTTAACTGTTTCAATAGACCTAGCTCAGAATGGATGCCCCTACACAACCCCACCACAACCATTCCTCCTCAGCAGGACCCTATTTAACTGCCAATGCAAAGAATTTTGCACCTCTCTTTAAGTAAGCTTACATTAAAATGTACACACACACAAACATGCAAAATCAATCAGAGTATGAAACTGACAAAGAATTTCACAATAGGCTTTTTAAAAATACAAAGTTCTTCTCGGCAGGCATATATTTTTATTTATACAATTTTTCAGTAAGATATATTTTATAAAGAAAGGCAAACCTGAAAACCCATACTGAGAAAATAGTCTGTGTCAACACTACCACAGTAAGGTTGTTTGTCCTTCATTTATTCTTTCACAGATTTTTCTAGGCCCCTTTGGCAAAATATTTAAACAGTTTTTAGCCTTCCGCTGACTGCCATGACACATATACTCCACGACTACACTACAAACTTGCGGTTAGCAACTCTTTGTAACCTTCCATTATGGAAAGCACAGGAGGCTCTTAATAAGTGTTTCTTTACTGCAGGAGCAGAACTATCCATATGACCAGATTTAATATTTATGCTGTTAAAGAAACAGCTAAGAAAAATGATCAAGGAACTCACTAAAACAACAGTAGGAAGATTTTCATTCTATACCACACTTACTGTTTTGACAAAAAAAGAGATTGTTTCAATCACTTCTGCCATATAGACTACCATAGCAACCTGAACAAATAGACACACACACACACACACACACACACACAGAGGTACTAAATCCCAGAGTTCAAAAAACGACACTAAGGAATAAGCTAAAACTCACGGCTAAAGAGAGTCATCAAACAGGTAGGCAATTTGAAAATAGGCAACACAGGGAGATTTTCGAAGATAAATCCCGAGAGTACAATATAGCAATTTCTATCTTCTACCACTTCAAATAGCATTGTACTTCAGCTTTAAACCACAGAATAGGTGGGGCCAATAACTACTACTAAAAACTAAAAAAGATTAAAAAACACAGAACTTATAACCAGTTAAAAGTCTTATCAATAGCAATTCTCAACATCTACCCCTACAAGGACAATAGTCTGATACCTAACTTTTTCCTGGGGAAGAATATTCTAGGTTTCATGATCTTAATCTTACCAAGACAGCAAACATTAAAACTGAGAAGTTTTAAAAGAGGAATTAAATACAAACAAATTTTGCCAAAGCCAAAATACCAACTGTAGAACTAAAAAATTAGTCTCTAACCAGAAACATGTTTCTTTTTGACAAATGACCCATTCTTTTTGCCTTTATTACTCAAAGTTCCTCTTTGTTCATAATTGCTAGAATGGAAGAAAATATACTTACTAACCAATAGTATTTCCCTTTGGTCCTCTAACAGACCAGAGCCCATTACTAATCAAAACCAAACCAAACCAAACCAAAATGGTAAAAAAGCTTTCAATCCCCAACCAATAGCTCTCATTCATCTCAAGGATTATATGATATATCAATATCCTAAGAAAACAAAGGATTTTGGACAACTCCTTGGGAGTACATTATAAGGGACTGATCCCCTATAAGCCAAGTCAGGTGAGCAGGAAAAATAGAGACAAGAAATGTGCCATTCTTCATCAGAAATGGAAAAATTCTAATAGTTCATCTATACTACCTTCCTTCTGCCTTGACAAACTTACCATAGCCATCATGTCTAAACGAAGAAGGGTGTTCTCCCAAAATGGCTTGTCTCTGGCGACCCTTTCCTCTATCTGACACAAAAGTAGAAACATGGTTTTAACAATTTTGACCCAAGTACTTAACAGAGTACTCACATGGGAAACACCCATTCAAAACATCCATTACAATTCATAAAAGAAATATGATTCCTGGTTAACTTTAAACATCCATTCATATCCAATTTAAATACAAACACCAAGAGTTTAAGGAAGTAATTCTATCTAACAAATTCCACTTAACTTGAAATATCTTTTTGGCAAATGCCAAATACAATCACACTTTCAAATTTAAGGAAAGAATGGATACTTTTCAGAAAGTGAACATACACAATGCTAGAGTTTGACACTGTACAGAAGTTTTTACCAATACATGTCTTTAAAACAAGCTTTAAGTGCAGTACTTTTGAAAGACAGTACCTGAATCATACTATTAGCTTCAACAGCAACACATTTTCAAAGTGGGCTTCTTTCAAGAAGTTCAGCATAAGCCAACAACAACCTGTATTACATGGTTTCACAATCAGTAAACACAGAGTATTTTGTATGTATATACACATATTTACAAACACCTACTGACTTGAGAGCTGGAAATTTGCACATCACTGGCCCATATTATATCATGGATTGGTCATTGTCTATAGACCTTAACACCAGGCAGGACTATGAGCACCCCCCCAAAGTTTAAATATGCCAAGATAAAGCTAACCAAGGGGGCTACATTATTGGATGAGAGTACTACAATACTCCTAAAAAATAATTTTTATTCTAGCTACGTTTTCAGGAAAGGCATGCCAATTTTCCTAAATTTAATTTGAGACATCAAAAAAAAAATTACTTGTAAGTTTCTAAAATAGCACTTCCTATTTTGGTTGGTAAATTTTAGAAATTACTGTACAATACTTTTAGAAAGTTTGCTGATCAAATTATAGTACCAAATAAGATTTTTTTTTTTTTAATGTAGCTTATGAGTCTGGTCATTCTAATCTTTCAAAATTCATAGAAAGGCTTTCTATAAATCCTTAGTCACCTAAACAAATGAGGTTTATGGGAGATGAGAAATAATTTTCACTTCAGCCTAGAGAAGTATCATTTTAAGTACCTATTCCAAGTTATCATAGCATTATAAAAGGGACCTAAGAGGTCATCTTATTCAACTTTTATTCAGTGTATAAATTCTCTTTACACCATCCCTATCAATTGGAACCATCTAGCCCTCTGCTTACCCAACACCAATAACAAGGTACTCACTACTTTCCCTTACATTTTCAGTTGGTCCTAAATAATGAGATAATTTTTATATTGTATAGAAATTGGTTCTTTACCCATATTCTATCCCATTTGGGCCTCACAGACTTCGTCTTTCTCCAAAAATACTCTCAAATGCTTCCAATTTATCAAGATCCTCCCTCCATTTCCCCAAAGTCATTTCTTCTCCAGTCATTCACAGTTCCTTCTTTCCATTACATGGGTTCCAGCATCATAATTTAAGTCCCACTCCTCCTGAATTAATCCAGTCTGCTAATCCCTTCTGTTAATATTCTTCTACTTAAACATGCCACCAAACACTACATGCAATTCCTTATCTGATCTAAGGAATCTTAACCAAAACCACCATAATGTCTTCATGGCTCAGTTTTATTGATACAGTTAAGAGTGTGCTATATAAAGGAAAGCGCACTAGACTGGGAATCAGAAGATTCCAATTTAACCACTAATTCACTATATAATCAGAGAAACTCACAATCTTCATTCATAAAATGAAGGAGTTAGAGTGGATGGTCTCCCAAGGTATCTTTCAGCCAAACATTCTCATTATTAATAATTCTCTTCATTCGAACCATTCACTACCTAATAAAAGGTCACATAAAACAGAAGTGTGCCGAAGAGTCAAATACTGATCACATCAGTCTACAAATAGTGGTTTGTGACTTTTCATGAATTCATCTGAAATCTGATGGAAACTGTACACCTTCTCCCCAAAAAGATGCACACATACACAAGTTTTTGTTTAACATTTCTGGAATGATTCTCTGGAGTCCAGGTTAAGAACTTTTTGCACTAAAATGTAATTTGGGCTGAAAAGGGACTTTAAAAAATGAGGTTATATTTATTACAGAGTTCTTTTTGGTAGAAAAAGTTACAATTCAGTATCAACTTGAGTGGAAGATGAAGTCACTACAAAAACAAGAACAGAAACTGCTAGTCTTGCCAGACAAGTATCAGGAATTAGAAAGCAAGAATGTTTTTCCCTTGAAAACCAACTAAACTTCTGCTTTACTACTTCTTTATATTTCACTATTTAAATATCTACCTCACACGTTTCTAACCTTTTCTGATTGTAATTCCTTGTATGAAAAACTAATCTAAGCTGGCTCTGTGGAAACTTTAGACCTAAAAGAACAGATGTAAACACTATTAAAATAAGAAGCACATCTACAAATGTTTTAAGAGACATTAAGAGAGAAAAAAAAAAAAGAGAGACATTAAGAGAAATGTAACCAAAACTCACTGTTTCAAATGAGTTAAAAAAAAAAAAAAGTATTCAATAACAGACTGTAATTTGACAGAAGTGAGAGATTTCTCATCAACCACTTGTTCTGTTGTTTGAGTACTAAGGCTTTGTTTTCCAATACTGTATTCAACTGTACCAAGCCTATGCCAAACAGATTTGTAAATAGGGAAAAATGTGGGGTCCAGCCAAAGCTGCATCACAATACAAACCTCTGCAACCCCATGCATAAGGCAAGATGATTTCCTAAGAATTGAGAATTAAAGGGGCCAATCAGCCAAAGTTCTAAATACTAGAACATGCAAAGGATCATCACATTGTCCTTCATTTTCTCTTTTGGCAAGAGTACATGCACTACTGAGTCCCTACTGCCCAAGATATTTTGGATGCCATAAAAATTTTTCCTACTTTATGGACTTTTACAGATATGCTCATCTTGGTGAGTTTTTTCAACATGTGGTTCAAACACTGATATTGTAGTTGAGGTGTAGCCAATACTGCAGCCCCCTTGTTTTTACAAGATCCACATTTTAATTTGTATATTCCAGAATTGCCACACAGTTAGTTGAACAATTTTATCAGTCAAATCTATGCTCATGAAATCTAGCATTTATAAGTTATAGGTGAAAATGCATCTCAAATGAAATGCTCTTATTTTAAGATTTATCAAGTTTAAATATAGTCTACCTTGAACAGACATGTTACTTTCACCTACATTTGAAATGTCGAAATTTCTAGTTACACAAATTAACATGAGTGATAACCTTAAATCGTTACAAAAGTAACAACTTATAAACAGCCACTTTACAAAATATCAAACCACACAGAAACCATCTTTTACATATAATGCAACTTTTCATCATTACGTTAATCTGTTCGATGTCCACAGTTAAGAAAAAAAACCCCAAGAGAGTAAATTTAAGTGCAGCAAATGTGCACCTTTCTAATCCTCTTATCTTTAATATCTGTGTGGATTGGTTGAGCATTAGCAGTTCTCAAGACCTATAGATAAATTGGCCCTGGTTATTTGCCAATTAACAATTTAAAACTAAGCTGAAAACAGTTACATTAATGGGCATTAAGATTTACAACATTGTAAATAAAGTCTAGTACCCGTTAGTGAAAAGTCTTAAATTCTACAACTGAAACCTTAAGGGAAATCAGACCAATATTAACACATACAACTTGAATAAATGGGCACAGTCTATCATGGTGTTCATCCCATGCAAGTCTGAAGTACTGTTAAGTGTCCTCCTTTAAAAACTTGGGGTGATGGTGCATGCAGTATGCAGTCAAGGTGAATTGCAAGTCTGAGTTTTTCAGAGGGCTTTTTGCTGATGCCGATGTTGTGCATGATGAAGTGTAGAGTCAGCCTGCTGGAGTCCTCTATCCTTCTTAATGCCTCGTCCAGCTTGGGGGAAAAGTCCTTTCCATAGAGAAGCAGTGTGCAAGTTTGCAGTTTGTAAGGAATATTCTGAATCAGTTTCCTCTCCTCCAAAGAGAGAGAGCTGCTTGGAGAAATGCAAGTCCTTGAACTGCGGGCGTGCCTGTATGTGTGGGCTCCTTGTTGAACTAAATATAAATAACTCAGTACATACCAGTAGGGGGCACTAATTTCAAGGTTATTTTCCAGCATTACATGGCCTTTTGCAACAAAAGCATTCACCAACAAGGTTTTCTTTTGAATGAACTAGCTCACCTCCGGAAAAAGGAATCTAACTGTATGTAAAAATTTGTCAGCAGATTTAAGTACATTCTAAAATGCATAAAATACTTACCTCGTCTTCCCAAATACGGTTTAGTGTAGTCCCAACTGTCATTGTCATTCCTAATAACATTTAGACGAGTTGGCTGTTAAGATTAAAAAGAAAGTAAGCTCAAATTATATATCCAAAGCATAAATATTTCTTTGGCAAAGTGTTGAAAAAATATTTACCCTTGCATATTCGATTTTTAGTGTGCAACATCCAGCATATATATCTGCTCCATTGAGTGCTGCTTTAGCTTTCTGGGCACAAAGGACTGATTCAAACATAAGCTCTATTAAGGAAATTTGGTTTAAGGTGTCTAATATTTAATCATTATTCACTGCCTAAGAAAAGGACTGAAAATAAACATAATTCTCCCTTCTAGAAATGTTTTACCAATAAAATTTCTAGGTGAATTTTAGGCAAATTCATTTTTAAGATCCAGGGTACCAAAGAAAACATAATAAACCAAACTATCTACATTAATCCTTCTAAATAATCAAAAGTACTTTATAAATTGAAAAGAAGAGGGGAAATGGAGCATGGTCCCATTCCCTGGTAAACGACAGTCTGCTATCTTGAAACAGGAAATATTTTACTCTTAAAGGAGGAAAAATGTCACAAAAAACCAAAACTATATAAAACAAATATTTGATTTTTATATATTTCTGAGAAGGCAGAGTTTTATAATCATTTAACTATCTTCATTTTATTGGTTTTAAAAAATTACTTGGGTCTACAGTTGTTTAAAAAAATCAAACCACCAAAGTGGTTAAAAAAAAAAAAAGGACAAAAACACCTTGCTTGAAGTCAGCACTATTAAGAGTTTGCTGTATAGCCCCCACCTTTTTTATGCATACACATGTACACACAGGTTGGGGGATAGTTATATTTTTACATGGGATTATACAATACATACTATTTTGCAACTTGCTCTTTTTACTCAACAATTAAATTTAACAAAAAAGTTTTTACATAAACCATGACCATTTGAAAAATTCAACCAAAAAAGGGAAGAAGAGTTTTGTATTACTGACTCTATAAAGTTTTAGTACTTCCAAACTACCTATTTTAAGGAGAGAGTCAGAATAGTCCATTTGGGATACATTTTAAAAAGGTACAAATGAGCACTGGGTGTTATATGCAACTAATGAATCGTTGAACACTACATCAAAAACTAATGATGTACTATATGTTGGCTAACTGAACATAGTAAGAAAATTTTTAAAAAATAAAATAAAATAAAAAGGTATAAATGTACATATTATCAAATAATGTTATTTTTTCCCCATTAAAAAGACAAAGCATACTGTGAGATGAAGTACGGAATGTTCTTAGGTAGCAAGTTATTCTTATCTGTGGGTACTGCAGTTTCATTTTTTAAATCTAAAACAAGTAGATCTTTGGGGAAGAACTGAGAATAAATACCACTTGTCAGGATATGATTAAGCAGGAAAAAATAAGACCATATTACAGAAATCTTATACATCAATAAAAAAAATTTATAAGTAAAGGATATTCAACCATTGCCTGTATCCCATTTCTCTTGAATATAACAATACGTTGTACTTTTCCAACAGGGTTGCATACAGTGTATAAAACATCCTATGAAGGAAAGAAAACAAGATTTCTTCACATTTTATATTTGGAAAAACAAGAAAATTACACCCCGCTTTTTTCAACTTAAAAAAAAAAAAAAACCTCAAGACATCATTTCTATTCATTACTAATTAAACTTTTACTAATTAAACTTTTAAAAACTGTTACACTTCTAAAGTTATTTCCTCACCCATACAGTATATCCAACATTAGAGAAGTTAAAATGAAACATTTCAAAAGGACTGCTACCTATTTTATCTCCTAAATAAATCCTTGATTCTTATTTTAAAAGGTACCTAAAATAATGTCTGACAATATACAATAAGTAAACCGAAACTATAATCAATTAATTTGTTTTGTTTTCCAAATGTGACTCCAGATTGTTTTATAATCCCTTGAATTATAGTAATAAATGTTTATTAAGAAGTAGTAACAGATCAACTTGGTATTCATTTTTCAAGGGACAATAACTATATAGAGAAAAGATTCTGGGAAGATCATTTATACAATGTTAGATGTCAGCAAACAAGATCTCTGAATTAAATAAGAGAGAACTTAAATACCTACTTAAGAACAATTCTTCAACTATCAAGAAATTTCTTGAGCACCTACAATTAACACAGTGGCACCATTAGGTTCTAGGGATACAACCATAAACAAATCAGAATACTTGTACTAGATTAGGTACATTCTTTCTCCCCAAACATCAAATACTGTAATTAATACTAATTAATACTGCTTATTAATAAGTCTAGAAGTATTACAGAGGTAAATATCTAATTTAAATAGTATCTTATGCTTTCTTTTATGTCCCAATATCATACATCCTTACTTGAAATCATACTAATTGAAGCTTCCCTTACTGTGATATACTATTCATCACAAAAATAAAGTGTCCTTGTCACTGGCTTATTATGAAACAGCATCTCATTATGAAGTAGAAAACTTAATTGGTTCAGGACATGAATCCTTTGTAAAAATTCTGCTAATATCACTTTTTTAAAGGGCGAAACAAGAAATTTTAAGTAAATCAGACAGGTTTTTAATAAGTTATCTCAAAACCACTTATAATATATACATCTTTGGGATTCTGTCCTTACCTAGTAGATGCTCTTAACACGTGCTGGCATGCAAGTGAGAGAAATTTCTTGGATTATTTCTAACAAGTCTGTCTAATTCCTTATCAGAAACAGTTAATATTGATGCTAAATAATACAAATTTTTAAAAGTGCTTATTTGTGACAACTGCACTTCTGACCTTTTTAGCTTCAGTGCTCACCATTTCTTTGTTCATTAAACATGATAGTCAAAATTAAGATTCATGTTAAAAATTCTTTTAAAAAACACTGTTTTTAAATATCTAGATGGCAGTGAAGAAAACTATAGGTTAGTCACTCTAGAGGCAATTTTCAAAATCACTTTTAATTTAGTTTATTATACTAAAATGCATACCACTGTAATTGGATAGAGAGGATTCTGAATTGATAGCAGAAGAACTTTGTTGCCTCCTGATGGATCATCAGTATTTCCTGGCCGAGTGATCCTTTTGCTTGTAGAATAGTTGAAAAAAGCCTGTTGACCAGCAATGTACACAGGTTCATCCGCAGCAAACGTCACACATTCTTTGGCACTATCTATGTTTTCAAATTCCACTAGAGCCTGCCGTTTAAACGGCATCATCATAACATAGCTGAAAGGGAGATTGGAAAGAATACCCAAATATAATAAATTCAGTTAACATTATTTATTCTCAATCAAGGAAAAGCAGACTTTAATAAAAATGTGTCAAATCACACAGATTAGTATTCTTCACTACATTTATCCAGTGTTAGTCAATTCTTAAATCATCCAAATAAATTGTGGTACACCAGATAGATGATGCATATTTGAAAGCTTATCTTCCTGTGACCGAAAGGTTTTCCACTTTTTGCCCTCCTCAAGCGTAAGTCTCTGTTATCAGTTACTAATGACACCGCCCCATTTATTCTTCAGGCTGCCACTCCCAAGCAGTATTAGAAAATATCTAGATATAGAAACCAATGGAAATAAAACTCAAGAGAAGATTAGCAGATAGGACCCCTAAAAAACAGAAACTACTACCTCTATTAAATTTTCCAAATAAATAAGTGCCCATGCTAATAACTAAGAACTGACTATATACTTTCATTTATCTTACTAAAAACTAGAGAATCAAAAGATACATAGAAGCAACTCCAAACCAACCAAATTTCATACAAATAATCTCCTCCAAAATATTTTTAAATATTAAAGAATCTACGAAAAGATATTCACTAGATTATAGTAATCATGGTTGCCTATGAGCAAGAGGGTGAAGTTATTCACATCTCACTGGAGGAACATATTTTAGTATATGAAATGAAAAATAAAGCAATGAAGGGAGGAAGGGAAGAAAGAAGTCAAATCACATGGATCATACCAGAGGAAACAACATGTCCTCTGTTCACAAGAACAAGCACCTTAAAAATGTTTTAAAAAAACAATTATCATGGTTTTATAACAGTAGAAGGCTGCAGAAAAAAACATCAAATCAGGTACTCAGTGAAAGCACTGTTTCTCAATAAGCATCCAGACCTACTGCTACCCTTTAGAAAGTGGCAAATGGCTTATTAATAAGAAATAGACCACTTTGTAACCTGGCAAGTTACAAAATTTCTTATGAATTTCAGCTTCCTCATTTATAAAACTTGAAAGAGTTTCAACTTGACAATCCTGTTGTCAAGATTATGTTACTACATACAAACTGCTTGCCTTGCCTCATTCATCTTCATATCCTCAGAATCTAGAAACAGAGCTGATGCATAACAGGCATTCAATCATTATTTGTTGGTCTATGAGGCTTGTTAGCTCTCCCTACCCACATCGTTCAAAATTAAAGAAAATACAGAAACAAAAGACCCTGAATTAAAGATTTACCAATTATGAATGCAAAATATAAATCCCAGGAGAGAAAAACATTCCTTTTAGAAATTTCTTGCTAAAGTTCTGAAGTCTTGCATACAAAAATTAGAAAACCCTGGAATCAGGACTATGCTAAAGAAATGAAAGAAGAATAAACATTCCCCTCTCACAAAAATATAAGTTGGTTGAATAGCTAAATGGTATTACCAAGTAAATACGTTAATAATGCCCTCTGATTCTTTGGCACACAGAAAATTATAAAGATTCAAAAATAAATTCTTTATTTGCCTATTATAGACATGGTCATAGTAAAACTGCCTTCTATAACTACAGTAAGTGAGCTAGAAGCACAGACTTAAAAGTTAAGAAGTGCCATTACATGAAGATAAAGAAGGGGAAACTAGAATGTCACAAACATTTTAGAATGCACCTAAACTGTCTGGCACATAATTTACAAGAAATCTTTAAAAGCACTAGTATTGGGCGCCTGGGTGGCTCAGTTGGTTAAGCGACTGCCTTCGGCTCAGGTCATGATCCTGGAGTCCCGGGATCGAGTCCCGCATCGGGCTCCCTGCTCG